TATATATATATATATATATATATATATATATATATATTGTAGAAAGTGATGCGTGTATTTATCTCTGTGTATGGGCTCCAGTACCTGTATGATTGCACATCTAGATACATATTGCCATTGTCTATCTACATGCCAACTTGGTTACCTGCTGAGTTCCTGACGACACAGCAGCTCTTGCATTGCAGCGGATGTGCTACGACTGCACGCTGATATAAGGTGTCACTGTGTGTCTTCGTGAAGCTGCTTCTGTGTAATGCAGTTGGGTTGGTTGGATCATGGATCTAGGGGCTCTTCGTTGGTCGTTTACGGGCAAGACGGAGGAGGAGCGCCGGAAGCAGGTGCTGCTGTTGATGTGCGATTTGCCCCTGCTGCTGCACGCTCTCTTCTCTGTCTGCTTCAACAACTGCTTGGGCTTTACGCTCATCCCCGAAGCGCTAAACAAAGAAAACTGGCTGGGAGAGTTCCTGGAGGCTGTTCATCAGTGCCTTCAAGAAGTCGAGAGCGAGTACGACGCACGAGCGGAGCCAAATGCATGCTGCAGCCGTGGTATCGCAGAGACCCAGAAAGCTCTGTATTTCAGTGAAGTTTGTGTAGATAAAAGACCATGACCCCGATGCTTGCATCATCAGGGGGGAACCCAAGGGCGGCTGACCACAAAAATTATTTTGTGTGCGGGTGCTAGAGACCCTGGGGAAGGTGCAACGGCAGCTGCCGGCTGCCGACCCATCTTGCTGCTCTCTGTTGTGTTGGCTGCCCATTAGATCTGAAACGACACCTACAATGTGGATATCGCGGTTCTTCCGCGCAGTTGAGGGGGCGCACAAGGCGCTGGCCGCTATTGAAGAACAACGAAGGGCGGTGAATGTTGTAGCTCTAGAGCGCGACCTCGCACGTAGGCGTCACCTGCTGCGTCAAGTGGAGGCCATGCGGGATCGGCGGGCAGCAGCAACCCTACGGGCGGCCCAGAATGGAGACAGCACTAGCGACAGGGAGCTGCAAACAGAGGTGAGTGCTGTCGTGGTATGCGTGGCTCTTCTATGAGTGCACGGCGCGAAAAAGACAATGAATTTAGTGCACGTCCTTGTTGCCGTTGTTGCTGCTATGCTGCTACTGTGCAAGTTCTGTTACCTGCCCAGCAACCCTGCTACTATTGTAGCTGTGCATGTTGCGCTGTAGACGCCGGAAGAATGTGAGTTGTGGAGGGAAATTCACGCCTTGTCGGAGGCTGTGAAGACCCAGGTGTCTTTGCACTTGAATACATGGGGGCAGCAGTTGGCACACTACATAGACACACGGTATTTGCGACTAGAGCAGTACGAACGCTTGGAGTTGTGCAAAGAAGAGCGTCTCCGAGCGAGCCACCAGACGGTGAAGCAGGATGTGCTAGAGGTAGGGAAGTACATGACGCGAGAACAGAAGGCCCTGGCTGTGCGCAATAAACGTCGTGAGATCGGGGCCAATTATCTCCCCTACTTCACCCTCCGCTCACGGGTAGGTCTTTCAGGAACCATCTCCCTTTTCGCGCAGATCCGCTGTCACATCCTCTATTGGAGGGCTGGGTACAAGCGTTGTTGCGTGGAAGGCAAGATGTCATTTGCCAAGGAACACCGCTGATCATGACCAGCTAGGTAGGCACACCACGACTTGCCTCTGCCGTTGGTGCTGCCGTTGGTGCTGCCGCAGGTCGGGATGTTCGACGACTGCGTCGCTCGCATCAAGTATTTTGCCGGTACGCATAACGGTGCCTATAGATGGATTGGGGGCACCCCATGGACGAATGCACGTTTTGACGATTACTCTGAGGCGCAGTTCACAGTTACATTGTTTTCCAGTGAAGACATACCAGAAGTAATCGCCTGCAGGAAGCACATTGCAGCAAGTACTGTTTGTCATGGGAAACCGAGCCCTGGGGTCCCACCTCTAAGACGGCGGGTAGTAGAAAGCGTAGCTCCCACGGTCACGGCTGAGGCGCCACAGGTGTTGGGGTTTCGTTATGAGGCTGAGTTGCTTAGTCGCCGATGCCAGACAAGAGGGCCTGCCTGCATTTGAATGCAGTGTTTTTTGGCCACTGTTTCTCGGTGTACATGAATCGCAGGACTAGAGGGGGGCAATATGCCTTCAGCAGTGAACAGGACTTTGGGCGTCATAGCCCAGTACGCCGAAGTGAGGCCGAGCACTTGGGAGCGAGACGTGAAGGGAATTCATAGGCCTGAGGTGGAGGCCCTGTTGCAAGAAATTGCTAGCGCAGAAGAAGCAGATCGTTTGCTTGGAAGGCCGCTGTTTGAATGGGCCATGGAATACTGGCCGCAGCTCCGGAAGATTGTCGAGATCGGAGCGCAGCGGTAAATATTTGCACGGCCGCATGTCGTTTGAGTGTATTCTTTAGCAAGAAATGAGTCAAATGCAAGAGCTAAAACCAGAGCGTAGAGTTGGTGGGACAGGGAGTTTGGTGGGAGCCTGTGGACATCCTGCTACCTGACGTTGCACCTGCCGCTGCATTCTCTCGCATCTTGACCTTTTGTTGCAGAGTGTGTGTGTTCTCTGTTCCCTCTGCGTCCTCAGAGCTACCCAAAAAGCTAGAGCTCAGCTCGCGGAAACATCGAGTAAACTCGACGCCTGTCAGCAGGAGGCAACTTCTCTGCGGCAACAATTGCAGGACCTACAGGCGGAACTGCGACATTTGTGGGTAGGGCAACAGCAGCAACGCCAACAGCAAACCCTTGTGGGGATGCTGGATTTTGCAAGTATTAACATATCACTACACCAATTGCTGTGTATGTATGTGCGGCTGCAAGAGCCGTGCAAGAGAGCCAACGATCAATCGTTGTGCAGTGCTGTTGCAGCAGCGGACGAGCAGGATCACAGTGTTGCAGCAGCCGGAGCAGCTGCCGCTGCAGCAACTGCACCAGCAGCAATCGCCACAGCGAGTTCAGGACGGGCAACAACTGGGCCCAATGGGACCTGGAATAGCACACCGGGAAGCAACAAGCTTTGCAGGAAGTGCCAAGCACGACTTCGGGAGCTGTCATGCTACAGCTAGTGAAGTAAGGATGTGCGCGTCAGGGGACGTCTACCAACAGCACCGCAGTTGCAGAGCAAGCTGTAGAAGCCGGTTGACCGGAGATTGTTGTGGTGCTCCTTGTTTCCTTTTTTTCGCAGACCATTACAGAGCAAGATCCGGGAACCCATCCTACTGTGAGCGCTCGCACCCAGCTTAACTGCTTTCAACTTAACTGCACCCCAGGGCGTGCACCGCGGAGGGCAGCTTAGGGTTTTGAGTTTTAAGCTAGGGGCTTGAGCAAGGATCGCTCGCCTGTGTGATTGTTCTACTGCAGCCGCTTCTGCTGCTGTACTGCGATGGCCGCTCAGCGCACACTGTTATGGAGCGGGGGGACTTCCCGCGCATTCCAAAGGAAGTGAGGGACGGTGAGCTTTCCTTGGAAACATTTGGGCCATAGAGCGTATGGTAGGCTGAAATTTGAGACCTTCAGGGGTGCGTGCGCCGAACGTAACAGACGTCCATGCACGTTCACGTTTATGGGCCTTGATTTTCATAGGCCACACCGGCCACAAGGGAGGGGGGCTGTTTTGAGCGCAGACACTGTGGCTGGCAGGGCTGGCCCTCGGGCCGTAGTCTCTCGATTTCTGCTGCCTCCAACGCCCATTGTCTTCGAACCCCCAATCGATGTCAGCAAAAGCGGATGTATGACAAGGATACACAACCCGCCACCGGCATCGGGCCCTCACCACCTCCTTGGATGAACGTATACTCACATTGTGCTCTGCACAGCATTTTCGTGCCCGCTTCCTTTTCTTCTCTGGTGGAGGCCAGTTATATTGTGCCTTTGGTTTGTTTGGACTCGTTTCTCATTGGTGTTGTGTGGCTCTCCAAAATTATTCTTTTTCCGTACGCAGCGAGGCTGTGAAGCGTCTGAAACTAGACAGAGGAGGAGGCAAAGAAACGTGCTGAAGAATTGAAGCTGGTTGTGCGGCTGCGATGAGCTCTGCAGGTCTTTACGGATATCTGCCTGCTGGTCGGACGGACCACTTCACCCTTGATGTCGTTCTCAGACTGCCAGTGCTGAGCAGCGACGGCTTTCGAATGGTTTCGCTACATTCCAGCAGCAGTAGTCGAGGATATTCGCCACATAGGCAAATCAGCCAGCAACTCACTTCCGTCTACGACCCGCTAATTTGCACGCGCGTCAAAGAAGAAGGCTGCGGAGGAGCTCCTAGGATTTTCGGAAGCAACCAGGTGATGCATCCAACAGATATGCAGACACGATCTACACCGCATGAGGGTTGCACTGTCGTGGCGCATTTGTTTTCGGGATAAGCTGTAGTGAGTTTATGGCAGCTTGGTAGAACGACTTGTCCAGGGCCAAATCAAAACTCCTTGCACTTCCCGGAGTGTGTTTCTGTGGTCTTTCAGCGCGGGAGGTTTGAAAACGTGCGGGTGGGCACTGACATGTTTACCCAATCTGCGTGAGGTTATCAGAGTGATTTGTTGGGGTCATGGACTATCCGCTGTGGTCTTCCCTTAAAACTACAGCCATTACTATCATGTTCTACGCCTACTGGTGCCTGTTGTTCTTAGGACGTCCCATACAGATGCGCGCTGCTGCTGGGAGCAAGGTACTGGACCGTATCGAGAGGGAACAGTGACCGAGTACAGCGCGTAGACCTGGGAATTGGTACGGGGCCTTCGTGGTCTGCCCCGTATGGAGCAGGGGAGGTCCCGCCGTCTCCTTGTGAACAGTTCTTTTCATTTTTCAAGCAGGACATCAGTGAGACGACGCCAGGGAGGTATGCCTGACAGCGTTGGCCCACCGCTTTCTGTGTTCTATTCGTAGTGTCGTGTAGCCTTCGTTCTGCTGAAGAAGCAGTCGTGATCCCTGCGATCCCTGTGTGTCTCTTTCTGTGAGTGATTCCTGCAGGGAGGCTCCATTTATTCGGTGAGGATGCCTGCACATACATCCGATTATAACCTGATAGTTACTCCTCTACGTGGGTAAAAAGGGTCTTTTGTTGCCTCCTACTGCTTGCTGTGGCGTTCCAGGGTAACTCTGAGATGCCAGAAGGAGGTTTCACCGGGAAGCGGGAGGGATGGGCAGAAGCAGCCTCCAGCCATGCGCGTTCTTCCATTCATAAATGGAGAGCCTACTGAAACTTTGACAGTTCCCAGAATGCCAGACTTCTTCAAGATATGCAGCATTAGTGAGCGCGTTTGCCACCCTGCTGAGCGTGCACTGAACCCCTGTGTTATGCCCATGCCTATCGACAAGGGCAGTTTGGCCGAACGACAGACTGCCCTGCGCGAATATTCCACGTAGAACAAGACTCCCCTGGTCGCGCATCCGAAATGGTCCACACATTTGCATTTATGCATTTGTGTGACTTGTTTACAACACGGTATAGACACCTCAGTAGACAGTAAGTTGTGGATGAGCTTCGAGACTCTTCAATCCTGACTGTCTTTCACAGTGTGGTATTACTTAATGATCTGCAGGAGGGATGCCGCCAGCAGCCAAGCGCCACAAATTAGTTCAAGTTGTTGACAATGCAGTGGAGCTGCTTTATGTGCGAGGTGGGCATATCTGTTCGATCGTGACCATTCTGTTAATCCATTTAGAGTGAATGCTCGAGAAAACGTCGGCGTTCGAAGAGCTTAGAAACTTTAACCTGCATCTGTGCTTCCTTTCACGTGCGTTTCTCCAAAAGTTTTCAGCTGTGACTTCGACCCTGAAGACCTTCCTGCTCCCCCGGATCTGCAATTGCTGCTGCCTGGGCAACGATACGCGCCTTCATTGGCACAGGGTATATTGCCAGCTGACACTACCGGTTATGTACAGCCAGAAAAAGGATACGGCACAGGTCAGAGTACATCACGCTGTTTCGTGGAGAAGCCACAGCAGGCAAAACCGGGACGAGCGAGCTGTTGGTACGGGTCCGGGCGATACTGGTCAGGGGTTAGGACACTAGTCGGTCTCGCATCCAACGCAGACTGCAGCAGCGTGGCGGGCAACCATTTCTTGATTTCCTCTGCCTCAGTTGACGATGGAATTGAGGAACGGCGGCAGCAGCAGCTGATGCTGGAATCTCTGCTACGGCGGGATCCCACGGAGACGGGCAATCGCCACGCAATGGGCTTTCAACCTCAGCCACCGACAGGTACAGGGCATTCTTTCCGAGCAAGCGTGGAGTGCAACTCAAGGTCGGAACGTGTCTGGGGAACACTGCTTGGAGACGAACAGCAGCAGCAGAACACGCCAAGTCGAGCCGCAGAGCGGCTTGCGCGCAGTGCACCTGTCCCGCCTTTCATTCTACGAAAGCGAGGGGCCAGACAGACAGAGCCCGCCGCAGTTCCTGAAGAAGTGCTGAGAATTTCTGGGCAGAGGTCACCCCGTCAGGAGGTGGATTCTCAAACTAGCAAAGACGGTAGAGCCTGCCAGCCCGTGAAGGGCGAGCAAACAGTTTAAAATTTGGCTTAAGTAGCCTTTCATGCTTCTAGAAAGCGCGCATAATATGACGTACTCAAGTCGCACCGGGGCTGAAATCTGCCGATTCCGTTTTGTCAAATGATTGCGAGAACCTGCAACGAGCATCGCGTGTTCTTTCCCAGGAGGAGGCAGGCGTAGACTTGGGGAGCTTGTTGCGTGAAACTGGACGGAGGTTGTCACTCTGTCTAAACAGTTTTGGAGTTAAACCAGTTTCCCGAAAATTCTGGGGAAGTAAACTTGCAGCGCTGCAACAACTCCTTGCCAGTGCAGACACAAAAGGCCTACCCAGCACACTCCCAGCACGGCCAAAAGTGGGTGATTTCGGGCTCTAAGTTTAAAGCGAATGTACAGCGTATGGGCAGCATTAGTGGGGCCGCTCAACCTCGACCTTTCCACACTTTCGCGCAGGATCCTGAGGAGACGAACACACCCAGATGAGAACACACAGTGTGCTACAATCGGGCGACAATATGCCCTTGCACGTCGTCCTTGTATCTACGTCCTACTGGACAGGGCTACTGGCTACACGCTCAGGAGCTCAGGTACAGCGTACGGACGGCGAGCTACCCGCCGCAGGCTGTCATTTCTAGGGGTGGCCCCACAGTGCGTCCACAGCAGGCGTACCTGGCTGTGGACCGGTGTTTGTTCATCATGGCGAGGGTATCTGCCCGAAGGCGGCGTTTCCTGGTGGGGAGATTGCAGTTTGCCCCATAGTCTAGCAGAACCTGAAAAAGCAGCTGGGACTAAAAGCTCCGTTTCCTAGGCCGTTATGCGTATGTGGAGATACGGTAGGCAACTGCGGCAGTCTAGTTGCAATATTACAGATGAAAAAGTCTGATGGGTAGCGGTAATATACAGGTTTAATACGCGAAAGCTGTATCTGGAGGTATCCTGTAGAACCGTAGTTTACTGAGGCCCTATGCAGATGTAATACGGAACTCCAACATACAGACGTAGTTCACCGAGTCTTACGATGACTCGACCATACGATGACTCGACCAGGTATCAATGAGCCTCGTGCCGTACATCTGTATTTCGTATGCGTCAAGTGTCCTCACCTTGCAGACGTCTGAATAGCCCCGGGAGGCAGCTAGATGCAGCGCTGTCCAGCCTGCGTGGTTACGCGTGTTGATGAAGTCTGTGACTTTTCTTGAATTTCTCGAGTCGCTTGGGTTGGGGTTCCCAGATGAAAATGAACCAACCCGCTGCAGTAGCAGCATTATGCGGCAAAGAGCAGAACCACCTGGGGTTTCGTGTGGCCCTTTGCAGCCCATACACCTGCAGGTGATCAGTGAGCGTTCTGCCTCTGTTCCTTCATATTGTTCATGTTCTATCGCTTCTTGAACGCTGCTAGCTGGCACGGGGTCCACAAAGCGGCGGGCGTTGTAGACAAGGGCATGAAGCAGAGTATCTCCCGCGCTGCTGCGAGACTCCAGAGGTGAGCCGCTGTCTAACAGCAGCCTCAGCATGGGGCGACTTCCGCAGTAAAAGGCTGCAGTGCAGCCCCGTTCGTCTCTCGCCTTGACTAAACACGCGCGACAAAGAGGGAGGGTCATATGCACAGACTGGAGAGGACGGAGCCCCTCTGGAGCAGGGGGAGTGCACGCAACGGAGACTGCTGCAGTGCCAAGGCAGCTCTGACAAACTGCGCTTGCCTGTAGCTCGGTGGAGGCGTCCTCCTTCAGCAGCAAGGTGGCCAAGGGCACGTTGTTTGCTGCAGAGGCCACGTGGAGGGGAGTCAGGCCACTGGGTAGCGGAAAACTCGCTCTACTTCTTTTGTCGCTGCACTGTGGTGAGGCTAACAACAAAGCTGCTGCCTGAAGAAACAAGCGCACTGGAGCCTCAGCGTCGCCCTCAAGCACATGACATAGGAATCGCAGCTTCCTGGCCTCTATGATTTGTCGCTGTGCTACAGTGCAAGGCGATATCATGCTCTCCACAATAGTTCTACAAAAGGCGGTACATGCTAGAGGATAGTGCTGTCGGTTTGCTTGCTGTACTGTGCTGCATGATCATGGCGCCAAACAAAAGGCTGGTGTATAGAAGTGCACGGAAAGATAGTGCAGTGATACATCTGCATGAGAACTTGGAGGCACATGCTGCTGTTTCCCTCCAGTAAAGGTCAAAGCATTTGCACGGAGACGTTCCACCCACAATTTACTTCTGACAACAAACACTAATGCTTCCCCCCTGTATGTGGCGGTCAACACTTTGGTAGCTAGCGAAACATCATTACGCTTGCATATAAACTAAAGTCAGGTCTAAAACCTGTACATATTGCAGCTGGACCCCTACTCATGCCTACGAAATCACTGCTATCACCCGGTGCGAGCGGCGTACCCTCAGGCTGTGTTTTTTAATAGCATATTCAAGTGGGAAAACTCCTCGTTCAGAAGGCACCGAGAGAGACGCTCCTCTGGCGAGCAGCAAGCGAACCAAGTCGAAGGCCTCGTCAAGTGTTCGCTGCAGCGACTCCTGGCACTCAGATATGGAGCCATCTGTATTAGCTCTCAGCGATTTCACAGCTTCCTTTACAAGCCTCTCGCTCTCGATGGCCTCTGCTAGAGCCGCCAAAAGCAGGGGCCTACGCTCCCCTACCGGCTCGTCCGTCATTATATCAGGGGAGACAGAGCACGAATCGACTAGCATCTCGGCGGCCTGCAGCAGCCACTGGCTGCCTCCGAGAGAAGCCCGTTTCTCAGGGCGTTTTGGAAAAGTATAGGAAGGCAAAGAAGTGTTATCTGCCTCCGCCTCTTCAGACTCCGAACGTGCAGCAGAAGCTTCCGCACTCGGCTTCACAGGTGGATATTCAAACGCAGGCGGTGACTGTCCTCTTGGAGAAGAGGATGCATCTGACCGCAGGCATATACAACACTGTTGTGAAGCCTCCCTAGATGGTAGAGACGTGCACGTGCGGGGGGGACTTCGTACGGCTGCACTTAAAGTCTGTCAGGCCCACGTAAACTCAAGTGTGTTCTAAGATGTATATACATTGCAGCTGAGCTCATGCTCTTGCCTACGGACTAACCACCGAGAAGTGTCAATATGTGACAACAAAGCTGCATTCATGTGAAGTATCTCCACTCGACTCTGAGGTTTAGCAAATTCTCGCAGCCCTTGGCTTCCGGGGCGGATTAAGGAGCATGTGAGATGCTTTGGTGCGATGTTGTGAATGTAATAAATCGAACGTTCTTTTATGGATAACGCCTATTGTTGGCTGTGACACTGTGTGACGCCTGGATGAGCTAAACGGAGAGAAAATAATACGATGGGAGAAATGCAAGCTGATGATAGGCTTCAGCAGGAGAAATGCATCCTACACATGTGGCAAGCACGGAGGTTGTCGGGCCTCGCTCACCTCCTCCAAAGGGAGACTCTACACAAGGTTGTTCGGTTTTTCGTGTGTCCATTTTCCTCCCCGGCGTTTTGTCTTAGAGTGCTGCTTTGCAGTAACCGTACGAAGCTACCTTTGCTTTTAGGCGTTGGCGTGAGGAATGCGACACGACGGAGTCTTTTCATGTGGAGTATTCGCTTTCTTTTCTTGCCCTACGGACACTGCAGGAGAAGCCCATGGATAGGGCTACCAGGGAGAAAATGCACCGAGACGTGTAGGCTTCAGCACTGATGGCAGGTATTTCTCCCCGAGTCGGTTTTATTCTGGGGAAGTTGCATGGGTTTCAAACATTTGTCGGTCTCTGGGAAGGAAACAAGGTTTCGGTGCGTCTTTGTTTTGGCACATGAGCTCGCTGCAGCTGCACCAGTCAGTAAGAGCCGGAGTTGTACTCCACTTACGGCTTGCGGAGCCTAGCTTCCAGCAACAATAGCTCGTTAAGTTGCAGAGGCCTCTATTTTTGAAGGTTGGGGATCATTGGTTAAGGTAAATTAGATACACAACCATCAGCGTTAGGCGAAGAAATATGCTGGATCTAAAAGGCTTTACAATCCCATAAAGTTCGTTCCTCCTGGGAGTCCGTCAGGTGTGTTATCTGGACACTCTTGTGGACAAACTGCCAGGAAGGCTCCTGTACACTGTGGGTTTAATTGTATAACTTTGAAAAGGCATTGCCTTCGCCTCCGTGCCCCTTACATTGCTGCAGTGGCCCGCTAAGGTGACCCTGGGGGACGCTGGCCAGAGGCAGGGGGGCGCTTGGAGAGGCGGAGGCGAAACCTTTCATAAAAGTGTATAAGCGAGTAAGAGAAAAACTCTTAATAAGCGAATGCCACTAATGTTTCGTGTTTCTATGTGTTGCAGTATGAACCACGCACGTGGACCGTTGCTTGTGCTTGTGTCAGTCGGCAGCGCAGCTCTCTCCGCGAGGAGTGTGGTGTTGGCACTTCATAGAATACAAACTTTTTGGTGTTGGTACTTCTCAATTTCTATTAAAAACCCTAACAACTCCAGCAAATTGCCCTAAGTTGAAATAGATCCTCAGTGAACTAGTAATTTCGACAACACTCGCATCTCCACCCGGTCAGCTAAGCCTGATTGTCTACATTTCGTCGTTGTTGCTGCTCCTTAGTCTTTGAAACTGAGCGCTTCTAGCGTTTAACTCAAAGCCAATTCAACCCCAATGAAAGTTCTCGTGATCTGCCTCATTGCCCTTATCCACTTTTGCCCTGCATCAGCAGCTTCTTCTGCGGAAGAACCTGCCTCAAGGGATCCGTTAGTCGCCCCCACAGGCGAGCATTGCGATGAAAATGAAAGTTCCTTTAGTGTATCTTCGTCTGCAGTTAAGCCAGGTGCTCCCGCTGTGGTGCCCAGACACCTCCAGGCTTGGAGATCCCGTGGGGGAGTGAATACAGGAGGGTACGCTAGTGGCTATACAACCGGCTACAGCAGCCCTGCATCCTCTTCATACAGTTCACCCACTTATGCGATGCGTACCGGCAGCAGTAGCAGTTCGTATACCCCGACATACAGCGGCTCAACGACATACGGCCGCGCAATGCCCACCTACAGTACCGGTGTCACCTACCCCTCCACCACCTCCAGCAGCGGAACGACTTACTACAGCAGTGGTAGCAGCGGCGGTTCGTACAGCGGAACGACGTACACAGGAAGTAGTGGTGGCCCATATGCTGGAACTGCCTACAGCTCAGGCACCCCATACACCGGAAGCGTATACACGACAGGAGGCGGAACTCCTTACAGCGGTAGCAGCGGCAGTACGTATTCTGCAAACACCATAGGTAGCCCCACCACATATACGCAGTACTCTGGGGGCACTCGCATGGGCAGCAGCAGTTCGTACATGGATTCCAGCGGCAGCTCATACATAAGCGCCAGCAGCGGTCAACCCACGTACAGCAGTGGGACATACACGCAATCGAGCCAGCCATATGCGGGGGGAAGTGCACCTGCTACAGGCGGTGCATACAGCAGCTCTGTTGTGGGGGGACCGCGAACCTTCATGACCAGTTCCTCGACCGGCAGCCGCAGCGCCTACCACAGTACTAGCGGTGGCATTAGGGGATACCCTGGAAGCCGTACTAACGCAAACGCTACCATGTCACCAGTGTACAGCAGTATCGGCAGCAGCGGCAGCACAATCGCGAGCCCTACAGGCTCCCAGACTTACAGCACGACTGGTGTAGAAGGGGGAAGCGGCGCGTTGCGTTCGAGATCTGGTATACCGACAGCAGGCTCCTCCTTCAGCAGTGGCGTGCACTCTGCTGCACCCGTCACACCTGGTCTCCATGCAGGGACCACAGGAGCTGTCGGAATGCCTATTGGGATGTCTACCGCGTCATCCAGCTCGAATACACACCTCCCGCTTGGTGCTGTTCCACCTTCGGACCCCACCCGAGCAAGAGGCAACAGCAGTTTCCGCGCCTTTGGGGGAGCGTCTGAGGATGATCCGTTACCGGCTGGTGAAGATGGGAGCACAATATATTACTTGCGAGAGGCTGACGGCTCACTTACTCCCCTGGAGCCGCCGCCGTACGACCAAATGAAACCAGACTCGTATTACACTGATCTTTACCTGACAGACAGGCCCATTAGGTTTGAGAACCAAGTAAGACGTGGGATCTCCCTCCCCCCCCCCCCCCCCCCCCCG